GTTATCAAGCTATTCCTAGATCCTCCAGATCTGGATCTCTTTAAATGGCTTTGGTTCGTAACTCTTTGTTCTCAGCAGATTATGCTGAACTTCCTTGCGAGCTTGTATTTGTTGTCATTTAGTCGTGTCCGACTCTTCGTGACCCCATGGACCAGAGCACGCCAGGCCCTCCTATCTTCCACTGCCTCCCCGAGTTGGGTTAAAGTCATGTTGGTTGCTTCGATGACACTGTCCAATCATCTCATCTAGCTTGTATGACTGCTGCTCAAATGGTCACTTACTGTAGAATGCCGAGCAGAAACAGCTCCGCTGGCTTTGTGTGAGGGATTGTTATGACTACTCTTGCTGAAAAACAGCCTGAATAGATCTCATGCAGTAGGGCTCCCAGAGCCCTGGCAGTTGAAAAGGGAGATCATAATCATTCATCCCTGCATCAGTTAATCTTTTGTATAGTAGCTTTTGGGGGATCTATGTGGATCTTGTCATTTTGGTATTTTGAGAAATAATGAGATTTTTTGAGCTGATGTTCAGGACTATACTGTACATACCTTGTTTGGGTAATCTTCCTTCTGTGTCATAATATGAATTGCTGGTAATAAGATGGGATGTTATTCCACATTGTATACCCACTCAACTTCTTTATCCTACTGCTGACTAGGTTCAAACACATTTTATCAATTTTTGCAGCAGTATAAAAGCTTACAAAACTTATTGGACCAGCGATGGAGAAATCTACCATTTTGCTTTGTGTTGCACATATATTTGGTGAATTTACCCAAATTCTTATAAAAATCCAACCAAAATTAAATTCTCATCATCCTTACCTTTGGCAATGGAACAGTGTCAATCTGCACGTGTGGTTATTACAATCATGGTGTTTTGAGATTTCTGGGAGCAAGAAAACATTCTTCCTCTCGACTTCAGTTCCAATGCGTTAATCTCCCTGCTGGCTGGGAATGGTGTACCTAAAGTCAGATTACTTTGACAAAAGCGATCCCATCTCTGTAAACTGATTTTCAGTCCCTTTTGTTATTTGCTTTATGAACTGCATTCTCCCACGACTGGGACCAAAGTGAAAACAGTATTACTAAAACACTATGGTGGTTTCTTAATGTCTAAATGTAGAGTGGAAAAGCCATGGTATGAGCATTCCATGCTGCTCTGTCAGATTGCCCAACCAGTGAAAGGACAGGCATGTGGCGTAAAACCTGCCAAAGCAGGACAAACACTTACACAATTGCTGATCCTCTCCACATCCAGGCCATAGGATACTCAACAAAATGTTACAAATATTTAAAGATAATTAAATCCATTATAATATTAAAAAGACAATATTAAAACACTTTAAAATGTTTCCTCTGTAAAATGCTGCTGATCATATATATGAATGAAAGAAAACTAGCACATCCAGTCAAAGCCCAAGTGGTTGGAAGGCTACAAAAAGGCTTTTGCTGGCCATAGGAGGATGAAAGAGAGAGAGAGAGAGAGAGAGAGAGCCATTCTAACCTCCTCAGAAGAGAGCTCCAGGGTGAAGGAGGTCCAAAGGAGAGTGAGGCGTCTCACGAGACAGAGGGTGGAGTGGGAGAAGAGAGAGAGAGAGAGCCATTCTAGCCTCCTCAGAAGAGAGCCCCAGGGTGAAGGAGGTCCAAAGGAGAGCGAGGCGTCTCACGAGACAGAGGGCGGAGTGGGAGGACTGAAACCAGAAAGCGCCAGTTTAAACTTGGACCCAAAGGAAAACATGACTGAGGAGGGGGATGGAAGAGAGTGGAAAGAAAGGGGAAGGTGGAAATTTGTCTGGTAGAAGAGCGCAGAAGGGGGAGGGGAGAGAGTGGAAAGAAAGGGGAAGGTGGAAATTTGTCTGGTAAAAGAGCGCAGGAGTCAGAAGGGGGAGGAGCGAGAGCTGTCAGTTTGGGAGGAGAGTATAAGTAGCCAAGGCGAGCAGAGGTTCAAGGTAGAATTGGACTTATGGAAGCGTAAAAGAGAGTTGGAAAGGCTAAGAGAATATGAGAAAGTAAAAACCCAAGAATTATTAAGGGATCTTCCCAACCTGAAGTTAGGGGGATTGCTGCCGGACCCCCCACTTAAGGAATCAGCAGAAGCGAGATATGAGACCTTGGAATGGTCAATGATAGTATTCCCAAAGGGGAAAGGGAGAGGACGACAGGTAACTCGACCAGATTCGAGATTCAACACCCCCCCACCCGAGGGGGACTGGGCCTGGCACCCATACTGCAGCACCATCTGTGCAGGGAGGAGCGCACCCCTCCGGAAACCCACCGACATGGAGAAGTTTGGCCCAGCACCCCTGTGACTTCAACAGACTTTGGGCGGGAGTTTGTAATGGACAGTTATGGCTTGTTGCCAGAATTAAGTGTTTTCAATCCAATCATGAATAGTGCTGATCGTCATGTAAATAATAAAGATAGAGATGTTAGAATTAAGAAGACATCTCCTGTGATATTTCCCGCGCAAAATGAGTTGTCAAAATTTGAAACTGAACCCGATCATACCCAGACGGTGGAATCCAGAGCCACCCAGAAGCAGCCAGTGAGATGGCCCTGTCTCTGGTCTTGAGGTTCTGAAGGTGGAAGGGCCTCGTACAGGAGAGCCTTTCCTAGATGCCCTAGTCAAATTTGTATGGGAGAATATGGTCTTTCAGATGGCTGGGCTTTGTAGGTCATAACCAGCACTTTTATTTGTATCTGGAAATGGACGAATAGCCAATTAAACTATAAGGAGAGAGTTATACGTTCTCTGTTGCTGACCCTGGTCAGACGTCTGGCTTTAGTATTTCAGATCAGATGAAACTACTGGACAGTTTTCGAAGAGAACTCCACTTAGAGTATGTAATGGTATTCCAAGCAGGATGCAACTAAGGCAGGTGTCACCACCCCCAGACATCTCCAGGAGCCTGTACTGCTGGTGCACTAGCTTTACCTGTGCAAATGTGCTCCTGGCTTCTGTTGCCACCTGGTCATTCAGGATCCAGGCTGAATCAAGGAGACTATCCAGGCTACAAATCTGAGTTTTCAGCGGGAATGTAACCCCATCTTGAACAGATTGAATCCCATTCCATGATCTGTCCTTTGACACACCCCTCTCTTGTCCATAACAGTCACCAGGCACTGGTTTTGAACCAGACAGCTTCCTCAGATTTAGATGGAAAAGAGAGATAAAGCTTAGGAACAATCTCTGGACAGATTTGTGATAGCACGTGACTTTCACGCAATGTCTCCTGCAAGAAGTTTTGCAAAAGCACTCTGAATTGGTTATCGATACATGGTGCAAAGACAATTGCTGGTGTGTAAAAAAAAATCAGACCTTATAATTTATGTTTTTTTATGAAATTTGGCCATTTAAAGAAGATAAAGATATGAGAACTAATAGAGCTGTGAGAGCAACTTCAGGTGCAATCTTGAAGCAAGCAATGGGATTGGATCACTTTGGATCTTGAATGTCTAGCTTGCATCACATATTCAATGATTTTTGTCTAGAAGGTTAAGCCAGGCATGTGATCCGATATGAACTAGGGAGCTTAACTCCCTGAATTCAAGGAGAACTGCATTTTAAGATGAAGTAAACAGACGAGGGCTGCAGACCTCTAACACTTAATTGTGGGTAAGCCCGAGTGAAAGTAGACTGAACGAGCGTAGGCCTGAGCCGCACCCTTTATTGCCATAACTGTTTTCCAACATCCACCCGGTGAAATAGGAAACATCGGTTCTTTAAAAAGGATTCCCAAGATGGAGAGGCATCACTGTTTACTGAACTTGTACAAATGTCAGCGATACAAGGATACATTTTTTAACATGCCACCTAATGGAGGAACTCACAAAGCCTACTATTTGCTCACAGGGCTTGTATTGACAAAAGAAGTGAACAAAAGAAAGAGGGCAGCTCTCGCTGTTCTTCCACAAATAACCTCCTTCTTTACTGAAATCATCTGTTCCTGACAGGCCAGTGACCTTTTGTCTGCTGGCGCATTTCAGGTGCATATGAAGCACAAGCAAAAGGGAGGGGTGCTGGTTTGTTTATGAAGTCGAGATTTAAACTGTCCAGGCTATCTATTCCTTTAAAAGGATACATTGTACAGTAGTTCCAGATAGGACACAAGGAGTCTCCAAAGGGACGTTCTGTAAAACAATTATGTCCATGCTATTTTTTTCAGAGTGATGCAGCTTTCCAGAAACCTCTGGGAGTACCCCAGATTTTTAATCTCATCACCTTAGACACATATTTAGCTTCTAGCTACCAAGTCCAGTCATCAGCTCACCAAGGAATTTCATGAATGTACGAACTAGCCTTCTGGTGTTTTGCTTTGTTTTTTTGAGTCAGTTTGACACCATTACTCTAGATGTTAACAGGGTAAGGCCAAACTTCTGTTCACACAATGGGGAACAAGACTCTCATGGGAAGCGCATGAGCAGTACACAAGTGTGGTCCTACCCTCCCACTCATGTTCCTGCACAATGACATACAGAGGCACATGGCTCTTTGATTCTGGAGTGAATGTATCACAGTCCATCATGACAACTTGTAGGCACTGTTAACCCCATCTACCCTGAATTTGTCCAGTCCTTTTCCAAAGCTGTCCAAGCTGGCAGCTGTCACTACTACTCGTGGGGGCAAAGTTGAACTATGCTTTGTCCTTTTGTACCTGTAGGCGGGGAGGTCTGTATTTGCATGGAGGCACTTTGAAAATGTATTTTACCCATTTAATTATCCCTGTGTATAAAACGTTACATGTTTACCAAACAGTAGGATGCCGTAGTAGCAGGGGGCACCACTTGTTTAGGTTCTGTGGGCTTCTTGAGTGCATGTATTAGGACAACTGGTTTAAGATCTTACATCGGGTGTGGAATTTCCTTCTGATGATTCAAAAACATCAGCACTGGGGACTGCAAATAATGACTGGAGCTGTGAATTTATATTCTGTGCTGATAGTTCAATTAGATATTTCATTATGTCTTTTATAATATTCTCACTTCTCTTTTCTCTAGTTCTGCCAGTCCCAAGAATGACGAGGAAGATCTTCACCAACAGCAGGGAGAGGTGGAGACAACAAAACGTTAACAGTGCATTTGCCAAGCTGAGGAAGCTCATTCCCACCCACCCACCAGACAAGAAGCTGAGTAAGAATGAGACCCTTCGCTTGGCCATGAGATACATCAACTTCCTTGTCAAAGTGCTTGGGGAGCAAGGCCTACAGCAGACAGGGATGGCCCCACGAGGAAGGATACTGGGGCTGTTCCAGCAGAGTCCAAGTTTGGAAAGCATGGAAGACTTGACTCTCATTGAAGACTCTGAGGTCCCTTCTCCCAACACAAGCAGCAATGTCCCTGAGTGCTGGTCAGACGCATCCTCTCCATGATGGGCCACTCGTCAGGGCTGTAGTCCTGGTAGTCATTTGATAGCTCCCCTTTATACAAGTTGTGAGTTGTTTGCCTTTGTACAGTATTTATTTATTTATTTATTCATTAATTCATTCACTCTTTTATCAAGTGAGCTTTTTGTCATGGGTTCTTTGGAAGATGGTGGTTTTCAGTAATCATAACAGGAATATTTTATCTCTGGAAGTTAAACAAGATACCAACAGTAAAACTTCGCCCAAAGAGCTTTGATTTCACAGTCTTTGATATGATCAGTAGAAAACCATTCATGGGACATGGTGCTTGCTAGGGCTGCTTCTTTATTTATTCTAATGTTTCTTAAAAGGTGTGAATTCAAATGTGATTACAGTGGTGCCCTGCAAGACGATGTTAATTCATTCCATTGAAATTGCTGTTTTGCGAAAACATCGTCTTGCGAAAAGCATTTCCCCATTGGAATGCATTGAAATCTGTTTAATGCATTCCAATGGGGGAAAATCGTTGTCGTCCAGTGAAAATCGCCCATAGGAAAGCCATTTTGCGAAGCACTGATCAGCTGTAAAATCGCTGTCTTGTGAAAAACGGACATACTGATCAGCTGTAAAAATCACCATCTTGCGAAAAATGGTCTGTGAAGCACGGACCAAATCATCATCCAGCGAAATCCCCCATAGGAAAAACCGTTTTGCGAATCACTATAGCGATCGCAAAAAGTCATCATCCTGCAGATTACCCATTTTGCGGATTAATTGTCTAGCGGGTCCCCACTGTATTTTCCAGAAGGGGGAATGATATAACCTGGACTTGTGCATTTGGCAAAAGAGTCCACTCCTACTTTTAGCTGTAATCAGAAATCTCAAAGAGTCTTTGAAAAGAAAAGAATCCATACCATCTAAATTTACCAAATGGAACTGATCGTAATAGCTCTGAAGTGTTAATCGAAGCACAGTTTGAAAAACAATAATTCTGTTTGCTTTCAACATTTTATAACCAAGTGATATTAAAGGAAAATGGAATCACGTTACTTCTTGGTATCAGTATTCACTGAAAATAAGTGTTTTATAGGTTTATCCCTTGAATTACTTCAGTAAGAATTACCTGCTTATAGTACGGTCTGGGGAAATCTCATTCTTCAAGACTACTAGAATCCCCCAGCCAATATAGGATCACATCTCGTGTGGATGTGGCAGATCTAGATGGATGATTGATTGACTTTCAGTTAAACTTGGGCCCTACCACAGTGGAATCCAAGGAAGGGCAGTTTTTGAGGAGGCTTGTTTCTTAAAGGATTCTTTAAGAAGGGTTGACTGAATAATTCAGAAATAAAACATGGCAGAACTTGGAAAAGTTCCATTTTTTTTACTACAAATTACAGTTGAAAAAGAAACTTTTCCAATCGGTTCAGCATAGATACAGTAAAACTAACACCACCCTGTTCCTAGAGGAGGTTCATTGGAAAGGAATCCTTAAAAGAAACAACAAGTAACTTTGCCTGTAGAGGCACACTGTGGGCTCACAGCAGCTTTTAAGAATGCAATTAATTACTCTGTTACTCACGTTACACTTGTGTAGGCTCCAAAGCAGAGTGTGGGAATTATAGACCTAAAGCAGGTGTGGGCAATATATATGCCAGTCTCATGATCCCTCACCAGTGGCTACAGTAGCTAAGGCAGTAGCCAACAACATGGAGGGTCAGATATTAAAGTTTCAGATGTTAAAACATCCACTGATCTCAGTTAGACTTCAAAGTGTTTTATGTTTTTAGTCATTTTTCTTCATCTTTAAGGTAATGGCTATGAAATTACCCTCAAACAGTAGTTGCCACTTGAAAGAAAAAGCTAGTCAGCAGTACTGTATTATAATATCAGTTTTTAGAAAAATATGCACTTTTCCTGCATAGGTGATGCCCATGAAAGGATGATGCTGTCACTAGGAGAAGGAAATGTTCTATAATTAAAGACTTCTCCCTTGTCTCTGCAGCTCATCTGACCTGCAAGTAATTTGTTTCATTGTATTGAAGCTGTGGGAGCCATGGGACGGAAGGAGGAAATCTTTAATTATCAAGCACTGCTGCCATTGGATGACATTACTAATAAGGGGAGATTTGGGGTTCTTAAAGACTTTTTCCTTCAACCATGTGGCTGTCACTGTTTCCACACAATGAAACTGTGAAGCCTGAATAAACAAAAGAGAAGAAATCTATGTGTATATGAAGGGACCATGGCACTACATGAAACACGCAAGAACACACCTCTAATCAGACCACACAGAATACAGTTTGGAAATATAAAACACAGCCAGATTTATACATATATGTACATGTTTCTTGTTCCCTCAAAGAGTTTCTGTAAAGGAATAAGGCTGGCCAAGTTTTCCTTCACCGGGGCAGGTTATCTCACCTTCCAATCTAGATTGGAGGAGCAAAACAGACACAGCTGGATTTTTGTCTCTCTTCCTCCAGGCAAATACCAGGACCAATGTTACATAAATTGAACTCCAGCATCTTTCCTATACAAACATTATTTCCTATCACCTTGGAAGTTTCCAACCTTGTAACCTCTTTGCAAGATAATGAAGTGTTTTCCTGTCAATTAATACAACAGTGTAAACATGTATCCCCATAATTGCTGTCTGTTGACCCACCCTGTTGTAAAATTCCATCCTTCCTGTGATTCTCACTCAAAGTTTTGGGTTCCTTTGTAACCCCATACCTTCTGCCAACAGGTCATGAGCCACCCATTCCTCCACCCCTTCCCTTGTGTAACCAACATTATAAAAGTCCTAGTCTTCCTGTGCATGGCATGGTTGTTCCTGTCTACACTTGGAGGCATGACGTCCGTCACACTTTTTACCCAGCTAAATAAAACAGCAAAAGTAATTTGAACTCTCTCAAGTCAAGATTTATTGGCAATTTATTTTGACTTGGAAAGTCTAGGGGCTAGCCTGGACTCAACATATATGTTCTCTCACATAGGATTCATCAGGAGACTGATACAGGCATGGAGCTCTTTTGTATATGCCCTGTTACATGCATTTGCAGGAGTCTGTCTGGACGGATACTATTGCTCGCTTAACCACTGGAAAACAGGCATGGACTCATGTTACTCTCCCACCATTTCTTCCTTCTTCTTTTTTTTGCAAAATCTGCCTAGTCTGCTCTGCTGACTTTGCTAAACAGGATTTTTTTCCTCACTCTTGACCAGGGTTTGGCAATCACCTTCACATCCTATTGAGGGATGAGAGCTTTGGTTAGTGTATACAGTGTTGCAATGCTGAGTCATTATAAATGTAATGCAAAACCATGAAAAATGTTATGCCAGATAGAAAAGGATATGTGTGAATATTAAACCTGCTTCCAAATTGTTAATCAGGGTTAAGAGATAGGTATTCTTATGTGCCCAATGTACTGCTCTGTTCAGTTCTGTTTATTTGACTTCTGATTTGCTTTAAGACTGCCACACTGGGTTTGTTGTAGCTCAGTCACACATATAGGATAGGTTATTCATTGCCAAGCGCTTCCTGGATCGTTTAAAATGCTTTCCCCTGTTGACTCTAATGTAAGTTCATGGGAAAACAGGAGAAATCCCCTGGTTTCGATTCTGGCTACAGTTCCTTGGATCTAAGTTTTAGTCAATCCATCAGCTTGCCAGTTGTTCATATGGAATTGTTGTTTATGTCTATTGGCTTAATTTCTACTTTTTTTTCCAGGACAGTTTGAGGAAATAGCTCAATAACAGATTTTTAGACATTAGTCCCACCCCGAGGTTGCTGGGCTTTGGATAAAGGCCAAATTTGAAATATCATCTCTGCCATTCAGTTGGATTTGGTATTGAGCAAATTATTCTTTGCCTGCCTGGACAGATATTATTGGCCTGCTGTAAGACTAGATGACATAAAAATGGCAGGGCAATTACACTGCAGTCCTTTATGCCTGCCCTTCTTCAACTCCAAATATTTAGGAATGAGTACACTACAAACTATTCAAAGAGGGAATTAGAAGTGTTAAAAAGCAATAAATGGTCACTTTTTAACATGTACCTCATATGTATCTGGAGAACTAATTTTATTCTACTGCATAATTTGGAAACCAAATATAGATAGGGCATCTGAACAGGAGTTCAATCACTCTGTTATTTCCAGATATTGGGTGAGTTTCAACAGCTAACTTTTCTGAGGATCCACTGATTTTAGACCACAGCTCTGTCATATACAGATTGACAGTGCAGTCTCAACTCAGAGATACACTGCCTGCACGGTTTAGAATAAACCACATCTCTTGTTGTGGCAAAACCCCTCAATACTGGCTGATCTCAGGGATCTGCCAGCAGAATTGCTCTGCTACCTAAGATCTGCCAGCAGACGAGCCAAAGGGAGAAGAAAGCGGGGGGGATGGAGCACAGTAAGACGTAAGTCATGCCAGCTCTACATCTCTTCTAGTTGAGGAACATAGCTGCTCTATTGGCACAAAGTTAGGTCAAGATGAGTGTAGGCTTAAGTAACTCACAACATCCCTACACTGGTAGGAGATTGGATTCAACATAGTTTGAGGTGACCCTCAGACCTCTTGTCCTCGTGTAAATTTTGATGAGAACTTAGGGACTGAATTTTGTCATGACTACAAAAGTTACTGCTTTTTAATTGATGTCTTAATACAAGGTAGTAACATTTTCGGGATACTAATCATTAGATCTAGAAACATCTTTGTCTGAAGATATATATTATAGGGTATTTTCAGCAACAAAAGCCTATTTAAAATGTGAAGAGCTTGTGAAGTAGCTATAAATGCTGATGCTATCTTCTGACAGCTCCATTCTTCAGTGCAACTTCAGTGATTAAAGTCATTTTAATTTGGTACTAATCTGATTCCCTGTGCTAGTGCTGGGACTGTCTATTCATTCATTTACTGCTAATGATTAAAACCTATTCGGAAAAACAACAAGCAAATTGATATGTATTCATTTAAGTACAAACATTTTCTGGTGCAAAGCAGGAGGTAGCTATTTAGTGTTAAGGAGGCAGAAGCTACCATTTCTAAAAAATTCTGCCTAATTTTATAAAAAAGGGAAAAATAGTGTCTATCTACTGTTGATGTGCAACTTACGTGTGCAACTTATGTTTTAACTAGACTTATCCACCAAAGATTTGTTTTGTCAGCACTTTTTATGTTTCTGATTCCTTTCTGTATAAGTATGAAAAAATATGGTGCAACTGAGGTTTTTTTTTCTGTATGCTATTTAATGGCTAATATATTAAGAAATAAATTATTTAGAAAAAAAAGTCACTTTATGTCTTCTGTTAAAAGTGACATGTTTTCATGGGGAAAGTTTGTTACCATTGGAAGGTAGTGGTTTTCCAGTTTCTTTTAATGATAGGAAAGAGCAGGATTGGCTCTTTATGGTTACTGTAGTACTTTTTCCA